CCCCAAAACCCCAAAACCCCAAAACCCCATAGATCAAATTAAATGTATATAATCTGAGAGTTAGTGAATTAAAATAAATAAAAGTTCAAAATTTAAAATGGACGAAGAGAGTGAGCCAATTATAATCGATATCGGATCAGGCACATTGAAGGCAGGTTTCGCTAGTGATGATGCTCCCAAATGCATTATTCCAATGATTATTGGTAAACCTAAAGCTCCAGGTATCTTGGTTGGAATGGATCAAAAAGATTGTTATGTGGGTCATGAAGCCAGAGCTAAGAAAAATCTACTGATTATGGAGGAACCAGTACAGAACGGAGTCATCATAAATTTTGAGAGTATTTAAAAAATATTTGAGCACCTTTTCAATAACGAGTTAAGAGTTTCACCAGAGGAACATAAGATCATGATAACAGAACCACCCAATAATCCCAAAAAGAATAGAGAGGCAATCGTTGATATGATGTAAGTTTCATTTATTTGAATATATAGCTAACATTTAAACATAGGTTCCAAGAATTCAAAGTACCCAAACTTTATCTTGGAAATTAATCAGTACTTTCTTTATTTGCTACTGGAAGAACAACTGGCACCGTTGTTGATGCTGGTGATGGTATTACTCATACAGTTCCAATTTATGAGGGATATGCTATTCCTCATGCTATCTAAGAAATTCCACTCTCTGGTAGAGATTTGACAGAGTTTTTATATAAGATTTTAAACCAGAAGGTACCACACTTGATAGGAGACTCTACCAATGACCTTGAAGTTGTAAAGCACATTAAAGAAACTATGTGTATAGTAGCCTAAGATTTCGATGCTGAGATGAAAGCTGCCTCAGAATAACAAACTATTGAAAGAAAATATATGTTGCCGGGTGAAAAACCTCTATATTTGAAAGAAGAGAGACTGAGATGCCCAGAAGTACTGTTCTAGCCAGGTTAAGCCCTGAAAGAACTAAACAAAGATATTGAAGGTATCCACAAATACACCTTTGATTCTATAATGAAATGCGATAATGACATCAAGAAAGATCTCTTCAAAAATATTGTATTGGCTGGCGGTTGCACCATGTTTGAGGGTATGAAAGAAAGAATGAAGAAGGAAATTTAAGCTTTGGCCCCATCACCTATGGGTCCTGAAGTCGATGCTCCAGCTGATAGAAAATATTCATGCTGGTTAGGAGGAGCAATTCTATCATTAATAGAGAAATTCGATCCGATGTGGATTTCTAGAAAGGACTACGATGACAATGGAGGTGCCAGTATAGTTCATAGAAAGTGTTTTTGATTTAGTTAATTATATTAAATAATATTAATCGTAATTCTTTTAGATTGCAAATTTCATTAAATCTAACTATTGGGGTTTTGGGGTTTTGGGGTTTTGGGG